AGACCCTGACACGCTTTTTGATCCCCGGCTACACAGGTGGTAATAACATCTTAGCTGCAGCCAGCAGCCCCAGTCGCAGGCAGGTGGCTTCATTTGGGAAGACTGCCCCATGTCCGTGTGGGTGGCCTGAGAGGAGGACACTGTGCTGGGGGGATCAGGCCACCAGGCACGTCAGGTCACAGCTGAGTGAGGTGGACCTCTGTGAGGTGACACCGCTAAAGGCAGGACAAAGTGTCTCCTGGGGCTGCCAGTAGAGCGCCTCAAGAGACCGGTCACTCTATCATTGTCATGGAGTCAAAATCAGCACATAGCTGACCGTCCACTGTGGAGGAACGTCACATGGACACGAGCCCCAGAATTACACCTCTGGTCCTGGAGGGGCCACTGGCTGCAGCTAAGATGTTATTACCACCTGTGTAGCCGGGGATCAAAAAGCGTGTCAGGGTCTCCTCCTTGTAAAGGCCCAAGGAGCCTGGCTCACCTGGGAAAGCCAGGGCCGGCGTGCGTGCTGGGGTGCCTGTCTGTGATCCTGGGGTCCGACTCTCAGCCTCTAAGGGCCAGGATAGTTCCTGTGGAACAGGGCTGCTTGTTCCTTGTTCCTGTGAGACTGAGTCAGTCACACAGAAAAGAGGTCGCCCGTCTTTCTTCTGCAGAGGAGCTAGGGGATTCGAACGGCCAGAGCGGCCATGTCTTCGGGCCAGCAGTGCAGCTTCCTAAGCACCGTGCCACCAGGTCTCCATGTAGACCATGTCTCTAGGAGACCACGGTAAAGCATAAACGTAAATTCCACTCGCACTTGGAAGCAGAACACTTGCACGGCTCATGTTGACGTGGCATCTGCTTCGCTGTGGTGGCCTGAAACTGAACCTGCACATCTCTGAGGGCTACCTGCCAAGCATCAGTGCATCACTCATAGTCTGTCTTAGTGCAGAACCTCCGCTGAAACCTGTCCACTGTGGGTGACCCTGCTGGCATTTGAAATGCTGGAGACCGGGCTTCCAGCATCACAGTGACACAAGACCCCCAGAGCACTGACAAATGGATGCTGGACATCACTGTGGGGCAGAGCAGCTAAGCCGAGCGCTCAGAGCTACGGTCATTGAGGGCGAAGGTGGCCTTCAAGTCCAGATAGCTTGCTTCCTCTCACACAGCGGGGACGAGAGTGCCACTCAGATGCCCAGTGCGCCTGCTGCCCGTGGCCACTAAACTTGCTCTCTCGTTTTTCATTTCCATTAGCTTGTTGGATCTTCGTTTGCTTATTTGTGTATGTTTTGCTTCTGTGAGGTTTTCTTCTTTCTTTTTAAAAATATTTTCCATATTATCTTCCTTCTAACTTTTCTGTCCCTAAGGTGGAAGGATGCAAAGGAGAGAAAGAACCTTGACCAAGTGGGTTGACACAGTGACTGCGGCAATGGGCTTGAGTGTGTCAGAGGTTGTGAGGACGGCACGGGACAGGACAGGACTCAGAACGGTGGTGCAGAGGACCGCGAAGGGCCGTACCAGACTCAGCAGCTCCTAACAGCAGCAGCCTCGCGTCTCCTCTCTTTCTCTCCTTCGTCATCATACTTGTTCCTTTTCATTTTGTCTTTCAGTTCTGATTCTAGGAGCTAAGGTGCTGTGATGCTAAGTCAAAGGCAGGGGGTGAGAACCCACCAGCTGTTCCAGGAGAAAGACCGGCCGTGGTGGCGGGAGGGCGAGCTATGACTCAGTCCCACTCTGCACACAGCAAGGAAAACACCCTTGTTCTCACTCCTTTTACACCACTCTCAGCTTTAAGTGTTCCCTTTTTTTCTGTGTAAACTTGTTTTGGGGGTGGGTGTTGTTATTATTTTTTCTTTGTCCCATCTGACAGTAAACAGCAACAATATCTACCCCCACACACGCCTCCTGTCCACTCATCAGGCAAGACTACAGATCAGCTCCCAGTTTACTCAACTGTTCATCCAAAGACTACAGGTTACCGCAGTCCATTCTGTCCCCACCTGCTGAATTCCGTGAACAGGGAACTACACACACACATGCACACACCCCTCCCTCCTCCATCACATCCCCCAGAAGACAGGCGGTGCAGCTAAGAAACACCAAGCTAGCAAGTGGCCCGACATTCTCACAAAGCTCAGTCAAGAAATGCCAAGACAATCAAGACAAAAGAAATAAATACCTTACAGAGGCAGTGCGGCTCCAATCCAGATTTCATCACCAATATCCAAAGATATGTGAAGTAGTCGTCAACTTTATATGGAAAAGACAGATAAGCAGAGTGATGCTGGAAGGGAAAAAACAAAGAGCAGGAGATAAAACATTTTCCAATGTCAAATGACCACACAGACAACATGATCCAAACAGGTTGGTAATGGTATTGTGCTTGCTGAAACTGAGGAGGACCTGAAGCACTTGCTACAGAAGGTCAAGCACTGTAGCCTTCAATAAAGAGTGAAGCTAAACAGCTGAACATCAAGAAAACAAAGATTCTCGCCACTGGGCCGATTGGCAGAATTATGACCGATGGTGAAGAAATTGAAATTGTTAACAGCTTCAGTTTGTTTGGCTCCACAATTAACACTCTTTGTACCAGCAGCCAGGAAATCAAAAGATGAATTGCATTGGGAAAGTCAGGGACCTCTACAGAGCACCAAGGAGCAACGATGTCAGTCTGAAGACTAAGGTGTGCCTGATCGAGGCCATAGCCTATGCAATTACCTGCTAGGCATCAGAAAGCAGGACAATGACTAAGGATGAAAAAAAGAGAATTGATGCCTTTGAGCTGTGGTGCTGGAGAAGAATATTGAGTATCCCATGGACTGCTAAGTGAACAAACAGGTTCATCCTAGAGAGAGTGAAACCAGACTGCTCCTTGGAGGCAAGGATTCTGAAGCTTCATCTGACATACTTGGAGCATGTTGCAAAGAGTGACCAGTCCTAGGAGAGGGACACTCTGCTTGGGAGGGTGGAGAGACAGCACAAGAGAGGAAGACTCTCGAGATGGATTGATTCATGACTGGGGTCGTGAAGGTAGGTGTGTCAGAGACGATAAGGTTGGCACAGGATAGAGCAGGGTTCAAGGCTGTTGTACAGAGAGAGGGTCACTATGAGTCACAGGCAATTTGATGGCACAGCTACAACAACATGTTGTTAGGTGCCATCAAGTAAAGTATGACCCATAGTGACCCTGTGAAGAACAGATCTGCACCCTGTCCTGTCCTGTCCTGCGCCGTCCTTACATTTCAGGACCCACTTGAGCCCGGTATGGCAGTCACTGTGCCAGTGTACCTGGTTGAAGGTCTTCCTCTCATTTGCTGACCCTCCACCTTTCTAAGCATCCTGTCCCGCTCCAAGGAACAGCCTCTCCAAAGTATGTGGATGAGGCTTTGTTATTTTTTTTTCAAGGAGCACTCTGGCTGCACCTTCCCCAAGACATAACTGATTATTCTTCTGACAGTCCATGGGACATTCGGTACTCTCCTCCAACACCACAGCTCAAAAGCTTCAGTTCTTCTGTCATCCTTATTCATTGTCCAGCTCTCAGACACACAGCCAGTGATGGAAAAGACCATGGCTTGTTTCAGGTGCACCTTAGTCTTCAGACTGACAGCATTGCCCTTCAGTACTTTGGAGAGGTCCCTACAACAGACCTGCCCAGAGCAATCTTATGTCTTGACTGCTGGTACCAAGGGTGTTGATTGTGGATCCAAGGAAGACTAAATCACTGGCAGTTTCGATCCTTTCTCCACCTGTCATAATGATGCCTGCTGGCTCAGTGGTGAAAACCTTTGTTCTCTTGGTGTTGAAATGCAATCCATATTGAAGGCTCTATTATTTGGTTCTATACAGTAAGTGCTTCAGGTTCTCCTCACTTTCAGCAAGCAAGGTTAGTAATCTGCATAGTACAGGTTGTTGATGAGTCTCCCTCTAATCCGGATGCTGTTGTTATTGTTATGTGCCATTAAATCAGAACCAACCTATAGCTGACCCTCCAGTGGATTTTCAGGGGTAGTTTAATTACGTGGGAGGAGATTCCCCATCCTTCCCCCACAGAGCAGCGGGTAGATTTGAACCAGATGCTTTCAGGATTACAGCACAGCTTCTTACTGCTAGGCTATCAGATTTAGGAGGAGAAAAGATTGAGATTGCTAACAATTTCAGCTTGCTTGGTCCCACAATCAACACTCTTGTCACCAGCAGTCAGGAAATTAAAAAATGAATTGCAGTGGGAAAATCTGCTGTCAGGGACCTTTCCAGAGTACTGAAGAGCAACAGTGTCCATCTAGAAAATAAGATGCACTTGATCTAAGCCATGGTCTTTGCAATCACTTGCGATGCATCAGAGAGCTGGACAATAAAAAGTGGAAATCAATGTCTTTGAGCTGTGGTGCTGGAGAAGAATTTTGAACATACCATGGACCGCCAAGAGAACAAACAGGTCTGTCCCAGAGCAGGTAAAACCAAGCTGCTCGTTAGAGGCAAGCATTCTGAAGCTCCATCTCACATACTTTGAGCATGTTGCCTGGAGTGACCAGCCCTTGGAGAAGGACAGCATGCTTGGAAAGGTGGAGAGACAGCACAGGGCAGGAAGATCCAGGATGAGAAGGATTGACACAATGACTGAGATAATAGGGGCAGGTTTGTCAGAGACCGTGAGGTTGTCTTAGGATAGGACAGGGTTCAGAGCTGTTGTCACTATGAGTCGCAGGTGACTCAACATAATAACACTCCTTGGAAAGGGACATCATGTTCGGAAAGGTGGAAGATCAGTGGGAGAAAGACCCTCCACAAGGTGGATTGACACAGTTACTGCTGCAATGGGCTCCTGTGTGTCAGAGACGATGAGGACGGCTGGGCTCAGAGCTGTTTCCACAGGGTCACAATGGAACAAAACAACAGGACAATAGACTTGCAAGTGCATCAGTCAGAATCGCCCAGCAGCAACGGGCTCTGCAGATAATTCAAGACTTTTCCCAAGTCATTGCTGTGAGTTCCCTCCATGTCCCCCCACCCCCCAGCCTCTGCTCAGATCTCCCGAGGAGCCCTCGTGTGACTCCGCACAACCCTGGAGGACTGAACCCCCTGACAAGTTCTGCCCACACCTGCCTTTTGCCCTGCACCCCAGCAGCACCGGCCCACTTTCCAGCCCCCAGCGCCCCTGGGGCGCCCTGTCTGTGGTGCTCGTCTTTCCCAATCCTTGCCACTGGGAATCCAGGTTACAGGGCCCCTCCAGGAAGAATCCTCAGCTGACCCCATCCCCTGCCACCTGGCCAGGTAGGTCTCGGAGTGCTGCATGCCCCTTTGATGGTCATCTGATCCCAACCCCCGACGTCCGTGAAGTGTCAGCGCACCTCTCATACCCCTCAGCCCCTTGTCTGTTCAGGGCTAGTAGGCCCTGAAGAGGCGATGCAGGTGGAGCCACAGGTAGACCTAGGTCAAAAGCGCACCAGGATGGGTCAGGCGAGAGCACACGAGGACCGGGGTGTCCGTCCGAGTCCTGCCCACCAGGCGGCGCCCGCAGCCTCGCTCTCACGAGCCGCCCCCAGCGGGAAGCTTGCTACCTGGCCGGCAGGTTTCCTCCACGGCCCTGGCCCTTTAAGAAGGTG